TCTTGATGATGCTATGGTTTCTTTTCCCATCTTTCATAGCTTCAGGTGCAACTCATGTTTGTAGGTATCAACACTACCTGTTACAGCCCACAATTGGCCTTTGCTGTGTGCTTTGACTCCAATCCATATGGATTCCTCATCAGAGAACACTGTATAGCCATCATCAACGCATGAAAATTCATTCCAGTAAAAATAAAACAATGAGTATGTTTTCCCAGTGGAAGTATTTTTGTGGTATGATAGCCATCATGGTCTTTGGCTGTCTTGTTATTCAGTGTGTCAGCTTTTCTGAGCCAAAAACACTTTGCCTGCTGAAAAGAATCTAGCATGTTGCTCATGGATATAGCTGAGTTAAGCTATGTATAATAGAGATATATTAATGAGCTAACTTGTGCCCAAGTACATTACTGAACTGAGTATAAAACAGTGACCAACCTTGGTGTCTTGACCAGTGCTGAGAGGAATGCCACTGGCAGAGCAGGTTGTTGACCCCCACTATCTGTGGTTTCTAATTAAATGTATCCCTGTGTTGCACAGTTTTATTTAGAAGGTTTAAACAAGCACTTTTGAGGGACAGCTGATGTGACTTAGAATGTGATTTAGAAAAACACTTCCAAATAGCTTATACAGTTAAGCTGCATCACAGGGAGAGTGTCCTGAGATGCTGAACGTGTTTGTGAATTTGGCAAGTCTTGTACATAAAGGCATATGCTGACAAAAGCCAACTTCTGGCTTTTGGGACACAGGGACCAAGAGCAGTCCTGGTGCCAGCACTGTGTAGTGTGATAGGGCTGTATCAGGGCAGTGATGCCAAACCCTCCTGAAGGAGGAAGCAGATTAGCAGCTGAGGCTGTTGAGTTGCTCCAAGATGTAACTGCCCCATAAAGGAGCATTTGTTGTCATCTGCTTGCAGACACCTCTGCGAGGATCCCCTCTCCTTGAGTTTGAGGGGTGCTGTGCCTGTTTTGTAGCTCTCTAGAGTTGACTGCTTGAGCTGCTGCTTTGCAGATGCAGGCACACAGCTGCTGTTGGCATAGGTCACTCAAATAATCACTTGAAGGATTGTTCCTCCATTTGATAATGGCTGGAAGGCAGTTCCTCCCATGTGGAGGCTTTGAGGGAACTTTAAATGATTCATTGTCATGTTAGAATTGGTGTGGAGGTGAAATACAGCTAAAACTGGGAATTCTGTGTTTTCTTAATGTGTTCCACATGACATCGTGTTCAAATGGTATGTATTTCATAAAAAATTGAGATTCACATTAGATGTTAGGAAATTTTTTTTCCCTGTGAGGGTGTTGAGGCACTGGAAGAGATTGCCCAGGGAGGTGGTGGAGTCACCATCCCTGGAAGTGTTGAAGAGGCGTCTGGATCTGACACTGGAGGATCTGGTTTAGGGCTCCAGCAGTGACATGTTAATGGTTGGACTCGATGATCTTAGAGGTTTCCTCCAGCCTTGATGGTTCTGTGATTCTATGAAATGTATTATGATACTGGGCTGGCTGAAGTGCTGCCTTTTCATGAATGGGAAGAGATTGTACAAGCAGTTCATCTCATTCAGTATCTGGTGAATGATCTGGTGTGTGTTGTCTAAGGGCACTCTGGATAACTGCTGAAATTGACAAATTTCACAGAACAGAAAAATATTTAAAGGTTAGTGTGGTATATTTCTTATGGAATTGTGTCTAAGAACTTGGTTAATTAATCTTGGATTGAAATTACTGTTTGCACTGTAGCAACAGAACTCCAGTTGTACTAAGCAGAGAGGACTGAGAAAATGAGCTTGTCCTGTTTATTTTTTAAGCCAGTAGCAACACAAAATGCAGAATACCATGTGTGCACATACAAACCTTCTACAGTCTATTTCTCTTTCCTTGATCTGGAGTCTCATTTTTAAGACATCACAGGTTCCTTGCAGTCTTGTGGGTTTAACCTCTGCTTTCCTTTGTGCTACATCTTCACACCCTTTTGTTTCAGGGCTCGCCTGCAGCTCTCATCCCTCCTTATTTTGGAGGTTGTTGTCTGTGTCAGCTGCTCTTAGTTGTTCCCCATAATAGAATCTCTGTGCAGCTTATTTTCTTCCTGCTCTGTCAACCTCTTTTATCCCCCCACTCCTTTCTTTTAAACGATCCTGCTCCTACTTTGTGATTCAGCAGCTGTAAGTGTAATCCTTCCAGCAGTTCCCCTGCTCTTTAAGTGCTACTCACACTGGGGTTTTTTCTCACTAGTTTGAGTCCTTGAATTTTTTTAGCACATCTTTTCCTTGTTACTGCTTGTTCCAGCTCTTCCTACTAACTTTTAAAATTTACCTGTAGCCCAGTTTTTAATTTGTTTTAATGTGAAATACTGTCATCTCAACATATTTCTATATTCAAGTTAATTATCTGCCCCTCATGCAAGCAGGATGCAGCAGGAGATGCCAGAGAGATCATGTCCCTGAAGCAGCAGGTAGTTGCAGGATCCAGGTTTTCCCAAGAGGCTGATTTTGAATTCTCTATCTTGCACCAAAATGTGTAGCTCTTTGCACATTCCCTGATAAGCTCAGTTGTCTCATACCATTAGTTCTCAAGTTATCACATTCCAGCCCCAAAAATGCTGTTGAATGAGAGTTAGACCACTCTTTATATTTGATCTCTGAGTTTGTTTTTCAAGATTAAACAGAGTATTAGTTTTCTTTTCTTAGTTCTCCCTGAAGATTACTGAATGGTATTTTCTGCCAGCCCTGGATTTGCATAGGATCTGGAAAGGTCTGTTCCATTATTACTAGAGTCATGGTTTATGATTATGATGATCAGGGTGCTTGGTAAACTGAAGCATTTATCTCAACAAAAGGGTGTGACATCCTTGAGTTCACTTGAATGTTTTGACTAGAACTACAAACCTTGTGTATGTGTGTTTATGAAACTGGGTTTGAAACTAGCTCATAACCAAAGCTTTGACAGTTGTGCTCCTTAGAAATTGAATTTACTGTGGAAGGGATAATGGAAACTTGCATTCCCAGCTGCTGACTTGTGCTCCAGGCACTCTTTGGCTGCATGGCTGCTGTACCACAGCACCAATCAAACAAGAGGCAACAGCAAAAACTGATGCCCAGGAAGTTCCACCTG